AACTCCCAGAATTCCCCAGCCAGCATGGCTAGCTGGGGAATTCTGGGAGTTGAAGTCCACTCATCTTAAAGTGGCCAAGTTTGGACAACACTGAGGTAAAGAAAGCTGCATTAACGCAACGTTTAACTCATCATGTTAACAACTGGCACTTGATGTCAAAAATAACACTCATAACATCTCCTTGGACAAGCATCAGTGGGGTGGGGGATGAGAAAGGACTCTCTTGCATGTATGCTTCTGGGATCACAGTCTACGACATGCTAATTTGCATTCACACGGATTCCATGGTTCCATAAATTCGATTAGTGTTATCTCGACATATGCTGTGCCTCTGCTAATTTGGTCTATTTGCCCCTTAAGCTTAGCTGCCAGCACTCCAGCTGCAGAGGACGTTTCTGGGTTCTGATGCAACTGCAAGTGACTTACCGAGACAAGTTCCGCTGCTCAGCCAGAATCGTACTCCTAAAGAGTCCAGTGTCAGAGCAGCAAGGTGCAGCAACGCCTTGGCTTTTTTCCTGAATTCCACTGCCTCAAGGGATGTATCATCAGGGTACAGCTAGAAAAGAAAGGAAGAGGAAGAGGAGGAGGAAAAAAAGCAGGAATGACACTAAATTCTTCATACATTGTAACTGAAATGCAACATACATTTGTCTCTAATCTGTACCTTAGCTTCCATGATCATTTTTGATATTTCCTTGCCAACACTTCCCCCAGGAGAAATAAGTAACTGTTACAGGTAGTCCTCACTTAACAATCACTAATCAGGGCCAGCAGCTCCACTGCTAAGCGAAGTGGTCACTAAGCGGGAAATCACGTGACCATGACTGTGCCGTCCGGCTGGAAAGAGACAAAACTACTCAATTTCACCCCTTCGGCTTTTGTTCGCCTCCTAACCGCTCCCCCGCCCTTTGAAATGGTTGAGTGCCTGCTTACTGTCTTGTACACACTGAAAGCAATGCCATCGCACCACAGCCCAGGGCTGGGAGCCATGGGTGCACTATGCATGCAGCTTACTCTCTCGAAATCCCTTCCTCTCCAATATCTCCACTCTGCAAGGGGGGAATAAAAGAAAAAACCACAGGTCGGGCACAGGACAATGTGTACAGTACTTACTGTAATGGTGATCACGTGACTGAGGGACGCCGTGGAGGCCATAAATGGTGATAAATTAGCCATAAAGTTATTTTTTCAGCACTGTTGTAACTTCAAATGGTTGCTGAATGAATGGTAAGTGAGGACTACCTGTAATGGATTTGTATTTAAATGATGGTCCTTATTATTGGCTCTCATGGAAAGCAGAAGGAAGGGACCACTGGGTCGGGCAAGGACCCAATTCAAATTGGTGATGATAACCACAGGGAGCAGCTGACATGTAGCTTTAAAATCAAAGCTTTGGGGTCACATGTGAGAAAAACATGATACGATATGAGGTCTTAGGGATGAAAAGGACTCCCTACTTGTGGCAAACAGCATTGGACAGAGTTTGAAAAATAAATATTAAAATGTACAGCTTTGGATCCAGAGCCCATCAAAAAATCACCATTGCAACCAATCCCATTTTCATCTTCACTAAAAAATGCATTCCCCTTAGCACTTGTAATAAGACAGCTACAAACCATTTCTTATACATTAGTAAAACCTCAAAGTGTGGTTTAACCCACAGAAAAACTTCTTTTTTTAATCCAACTGTTCTTTTCTACCTTGCTGCTATGCTCAAAAGGTAGTAAAATATTTCTTACAATGAAAGAAACTAATTCTTTCATTGCTAGGCCTTCTATGTTCATTCTCTGGCGCCATCAAGTGTCAGAGCCACAGAGCAGATCTTAGTAAGTAGTCGTCGAATAGGGTTAAGCATGGAAATGTGGCTGGCTGTTGGGCTGAAAAATGGAAGAACTGAAGCACAGGTTGTCTCTAGACAGAAAAGCTTAATTGGGTTAGGATTTCAACAAAACTATGACCAATATTCAAAAACCATGCATGTGTTTCTGGCCACCCAAAGGAACTGTGGATTTGAACAGTGACTCTCCAAACCTGTGACAAATTACTTTTTTAAAGGGATGAAACAAGTTGGAAGTAATTCACTGGGTCCTAGGCTATGCATCAAGAGAGCTAGTTTGGTGTAGTGGTTAAGGCATCAAGCTAGAACCCGGGGACCATGAGGTCTAGTCCTGCCTTAGGCACGAAGCCAGCTGGGTGACCTTGGGCCAGTCACTCTCTCTCAGCCCTAGGAAGGAGGCAATGGCAAACCACTCCTGAAAATGCTGCCAAGAAAACTTCATGGACTTGTCCAGGCAGTCGCCAGGAGTCAAGACTGACTCAAAGTTACAAAAAAAAAAAATGCTATGTCGTGAGCTTTAAGCATATAATTGCTCCAACTTGAACAGGGGCAGCTATGGAATCAAGTACATACATGACTAAAGATGCACCCTTAAAAGAGTAAAAGCCAGTTCCGTGAGACTGATCTCTTAGTTGGAGTGTAATTGCAAGACATTCTCTGCTGAATGCACCAAATCAGAATTGCATCCATTATGATTCTCTGAGTTCCAAAGAGCTTTGGGACCAAGATGTCTCCCATTTTGCCGTGAGCAGTATTAGTAGGTTTACAAAGGTCTAGCTGGCCACTGCACTTTATAGGTTGATCAAGTCCACTTAGTACCACTGATATGGTATGAAGTGTCAGAGAAAAAACCACGTTAAACACGGGAGGCAGACACACCATAAAACAAGTCACTTCAAAGTTCTAAAAGCTTTATTAAAAGTTAGTTCA